CCACCACGAGATGGCGCTGCAGACCAGGGCGGAAGTCCCGCTGCTCCCGCAGCCGCCAGAGCCCTGCTTCTCTGGTTTGCTCTCTTCCACCCGCTTTGAGCCTCTTGCCTGCAGACTAAGCGAGGCTGGAACACTCCACGGGGCTTCGGGTCCTGGGCACGTGTCTGCTGGGGCAGGGCTCAGACAACCATGCTGTGTCAAAGAAAATATTAATCAACGGTCAATCTAAGAAAGAAAGAAAAACATTTTATTCCAGCCAACCCAGTCTTGCAGAAGGTCTGAGAACTGCCCTGAAGAGGTAACAGGGAGGCCGGTGTGTGTGTGATTTGGCCAAGGGGCCCGTGCAGTCCAGCACGTGCTGCTGCTCACCAGGAACAAGCCTACGGTTTCAGTGCTTTTCCGAGTAAGGGGAGATGCAAGAATTCAGCTTCATAAAAAATTTCTCCCGAAAACACCTAGCTGTCTGAGGGCCGGTTTTGTCAGTTTTCCCCGAGGGAGAGTGTCTGTCCTGATCTTCCCTCTGCGTTCCTGGTGGGCCGGGGACTGCGACGGCTAAAGGCTTGATTCTTGCAGATTGGGAAGATGGGCAACATTCCTTATTTCACACCTTTCGGTCTTAATTTCAACTGAAGTTTGGGAGGCATATCGTGACCAGTTTGTCCCACGGCGCTAGGAATGCCCACTCCCAGCTCAGGCGAGGATCTCACTGGTAGAACACTCCGCGTGCTGTTACTGGACTAGAGCCTCTGCCCAGTAGCCAGCAGCCTCTGGACCGCCTGTCTTACTGGTCTGTGGTGGTCCTGGAAGCAGTTCCCTCTTGTTGCCTCTGCCCGTATCTAGAGTCACACTGTCACAACCATTGATCTTATGGAACCATACACATATTGTTTGACATAAAGTTGATTGACGATGTGTTAGTTTCTGATGTACAGAAAAGTGATTCAGTTGTACATGTATATGTGTGTACATTCTTTTCCATGTTCTTTTCCACTATGATTTATTACAAGCTATTGGATACAGTTCCCTGTGCTGGACACTAGGACCTGGTTGTTTATTCTATATATAATAGTTTGCATCTGCTGATCCCAGATTCCTAGTTTGTCCTCCCGACCTCCCTTCCCCTTTGATAAGTTTGTTTTCTCTGTCTGTGAATCTGTTTCTGTGCCATAAGTAAGTTCATTGGGGTCATATTCTAGATTCCACATGTAAGTGATGTCATATGGTGTTTGTCTTTCTCTGTCTGACTTCCTTCACTGAGCATGATCACCTCCAGGTCCAGCCATGTTGCTGCAAATAGCATTCTTTCATATAAAACTACATTTTTGATCAATCTTTTCCTTTTTTTAAACTTTTTTTATTGCATTACAGTCATTTTACAATGTTGTGTAAATATATACAAGACCTAGTGGTAGCTCACAGCGAAGAAAAGGTGACAATGCTCAGTCACTTCCAGTTGCCTCATCATCACTAACTTTATCTGAATCTCAGGCACACATTTGGTAATGCAAGGAACAATACTCTTGTAAGAGACACAGAATATGGCTAGTAACAGTAATAAGGTCATCAGTAAGTATTTAAGCTAAGAGCTTCCATTAAGTGGAAGTCTGACCAGTCTGCTGTAATCACTGCCTTTAAGGGAAATGGTACACTGGCCTCACACATAAAGTTCACCAAAGATTCTGCACATACCAGGCGAGTGGTGGGTCATCGCGACCCCTTACAGGGTGGAGAAAGGAATGCTGCCTTCTAAGGCGCTACATGGCTGGTGTCAGAAGAAGAAAAAGCAATCGTATGGTTGAGCAGGTGTTTCTGCTTTGGGGAGGTCTGGTTCACACCCAGTGCAGATGCACAGTGCACACTGGAGGGGAGGGAACAGCCCAAACAGCAGAGAGAAAGGTTTAGGTATAATTTTTTTTGTCTTGTCTTAAAATGTGAATTTTTACTTCATCACTGGCCTTGCAGGGTGCTGAGAACTGGTGCCTTCAAAGCAGGGGTATCAGAGGCGCCGGCCGGTGGGGGCCGAACCCGTGTGGATTCTGCTTCCCTGCCCAGACTTTCCAGGGGATGGGGACGCCTTCCTTCCCCTCCCTCTCCGTTCCTGGGGGGAATAGGGCGGCCACAGCAGGAAATGGCGTCTCTGTGTCATGGAGCCTGGGCTGAGCGAGCGAGCTTCCCTGGACGAGGGCTGGGGTGTGGGGCACAGCGGGGACTGCTGGCCACAGGCTCTCAGGGCTCGAGCAAAGCTGGGGATCTGGTGGCCAGAGCGGGAAGCATCTGTGTCACCTAGAGGACGTGCTTCCGGTCTGGCGTGGGCAGGGCAGGGTCATTCCATCATCAGGGACTGTGGGTTCTCGCTTTTCAAGATCCCAGACTCTGGTGAGAGGAACTCCACAGTAGGGACTGCTCCTGGGAGGGGGCGGGCTCGTTCGCCCACAGTATACTCAGAGCTTGTGCCGTGTGATGGTGGGAGTCAGGGTGGGGTCGAGGTTAAAGGCACTGGCTCTGCTGTGTGGGACACATCATGTGATGTCTCTGAGCCTCAATTTTCTCACCTGTGAAGTGGGAAGATACTAGCATCAGGGATTTTGGAGCCACAAGTAATAGAAACTCAACTCCAAAGGGCTTTAATGATAGAGACAATTCATGACCCCTTGCAGATGAAAAGTGCAGGGCAGGGTGGCCTTCAGGCAAGGCTCTCTCCTGCAGCTCTCAGGGACCCAGGCTTTGTCCCTCCTTTTGCTCTCCTTCCAGGGTTCTAGCTTATGCCAGAACTCCCCCGAGTCCCCCAGATACCTGTGAGCAGCAGTGCTCCCTCATTTGTGTCCAGCAGAAGGAAGGCAGTGTCTCCCCAGCTATTGAACAAAGGGGCTTGGGTTATCTCAATTGAAACGTCTGGGATCGTGTCCCCAGCTCTGGCCAGGAGGACGTCCCATGCTGACTGCTGAGGCTCAGAGCCGCTTCCATGGGTGGACGGGGCTGACATCGTGCTGGTCAGTTTCAGCCAGTCCACGGCCACAGGAAAGCCACACACACGTTCCAGGAGGAATAACCCAACCTTGTCAAGCCGTGCTTCCAGAATGTTCTTCGTGGATGAGCGATGGCTTCTGATTGGATAGTTCCTACAGGAAGGGCCCAGTTCCCACTTAGATACCCTCCCCAGGGAGGGCGGCAGGACCTCTGGCAGTGGTGAGGGGAGTGCACTCCGGGGCCCTGGCGGAGCCTGGGGCGGGTTATGTGAGCTCTCTCCTGAGTCTGCCCTGGCCGCCGAGAGAGATGCCGAGGAAGCCACTTATCCTTTAGGGCCAGGCCCCTGCTCATCCTCCCAGCCCGTCGGGCGGCAATGTTGTT